AAATCTGGGAAAATCCACAAGAAGTAGCTTGAGTTCAAGGTAAGAACTCTACTACCCTTCTTTAACTAGTTTTGTGTTGTATGATTTTTGAGAAATCATATGATGGATTAAACCACGAGTTTTACACGTTTAAGGGTGTATAATATTGTTATATAGTGGTGGTAATTAACTTAGAAGAGTCGTGGAATCGATAGGAGTTGAAACCACCGGAAACCGCCAAGGAGAAGAAGCTGTTCGTAGTTGCAGACTACGAAAGCCGCCCGGCTTTGGTGAAAGCCGCCCGGCTTTTGGGCTACTGTCCAGGAATTTCACTTTCAATCGGCCTAGAACGGGGATTGATCGAGGGGCTTAACAAAGGCAACTATTGTAGCACATCATAAGGTGAGGATGACTGACTATGTTGTTTATAATCTTTGGGTTAATTTCATAAGATTACCTAAAGTATTTAAATGCGATTTTCATGGATTATTAATAAGTAATAATGCCTAAATGAGAATACAATTGCTTATGAGTAATTGAAGTATTATATGCGAATTGCGAATGAAGTGTGTATGGATACGTGATTATGAATATGATGGAATGATAGTTGAGTGAACTAAGAATATGGAGATAAAATATACTTTGCTTCATGTAGAGAATTCATGAATGGGTAAAAGTGATATTTTGATATTGGGAAGTAATTATATTTGAATTGGAAGATAAATTGAAATACACTATGTGTCTATGGGTTAAGAACTTGGTTGTTCAAAATTTATTCAACTAGTATTGAAATACTAGCCGAGATGTTAATATGAGGAACAATAGATTAATCCAATGAGTTGGGTTGTGAGGAAATTATACCTTGAGTAGTCCTAAGAGATACTTTAATGTCGAGACGTGTAAGCTCTAAGTATAATAGGAGTAGGCCCAAAAGGCTACTCAATCTAAACCGATTCTAGGCATAGGAATTGCTTAGGGATTGATTAACGTGACTAAGAGCGGGGCTCTAGCATGTTGAAATGATGACTAAGAGCGGGGCTCTAGCATGTAGGGATGGTGACTAAGAGCGGGGCTCTAGCATAATGTAGATGGACTAAGAGCGGGGCTCTAGCCAATGTAAGTTAACTAAGAGCGGGGCTCTAGTATAATGTAGATGGACTAAGAGCGGGGCTCTAGCCAATGTAAATTAACTAAGAGCGGGGCTCTAGTATGATGTAAACGGACTAAGAGCGGGGCTCTATCCAATGTAGACAAATTAGGAGCGGGGCTCTAGTATGATGTAGGGAGACTAGGAGCAAGGCTCTAGCACGATGTAGGGAGACTAAGAGCATGACTCTAGCATGATCCAATAGTATAACCGGGCGAGGCTCGGTGATGTTTATGCCATGTAATAGGGAAATGCCCAAATGACTATGAGTAAATTTACCAGAGGTTTATGACATTCGTGACAAATAGTCACGGGGGAAAAGGGGGATGGACTTACAAAATGCATACGGGTCTTCGGGCCGACTACTTGACTTTATATAAAGTAAGTATATTTTCAAAGAGGGTAACCACGGGTTACGACCTATATTATTATATCACCCTATTTGAGGGTCTTGGAAATTGAAACATTGATTATACTTAGTATAGTTGTCATTGTACTTGTCAAATGCTTCCAAGTACTGACCTCCCCTTCACGGGGGAGGCCACCTCACAGTTTCAGGTAGGAGTTGAGCTTGCTACCGGTGCCCGTTGTTTCGGGAAGATTCAGGAGGGAAGACGTGGTTCGTGCTTCCTCCGCCTCTGTTTTTTTTAAAACATTTAAAATCGATGCTCATGGATATTATTTTGAATATTTATTTGGGGCTTGTATGCCCATGTTTGCCGAAGTGTGGCGTAAACACTTGTATTAAACGTTTCCGCTGATTTAAATGATTATTTTACATTATGTTTGTTTATGGATGTACTATTGTGAATGATATTCAAGACGCCTTGTATAGTATGGATGAGTTGGACTGCGGTTGACTATTCGTACTGTACGGCGGGTTGTTGACGTGTCCGGTAGGCCCGGGGCGTGACACTTAACACCCTGTTTTGAAAAACATTAATGTTTGCACCCTAGCATTAACCAATCCGTTAGTAAGAGTTAACTAAACATTGTAAAAGACAAAGTTGCCTTGGAACAAATAAGAAATACGTAGTACAAGCGTACAACCTGTAACCACAACCCAAGCCAAATGTAAAAGAGAAAATGCAAAAGTTACTAACAGTGCCAACAAAATTCTTAGAAAAAGCAAATAAAAGTCTAAGAATGACTTATATGCACCCAGCAAATGCATAAGTATACTCGCACCATAAAATAAGTCCTACGCACTATGTTTACATCTTCATGCCAAAGGAAAACGAAAAAATGCAAAAGTTACTGCCAGCACCAAGAAATTGCTTAGAAAAAACAAAAACAAAACAGCCTAACAATGACTGATCCACACCAGCAATGCAGATGTATACATGCACCAAAAAAAGTCCTACAAACCAAATTTACACCTCCCAAAAAAAGCTAATAGTATACACAAAAAAACTGCACTAGATGCAAGAATCAGAAAGTCCAAAACTACAAAAAGCTGCAAAAAATGAGCTGCCATATTAAAAGATATACCATGTTATAGGGGCTGCCCAGAGAAGATGTAATTATACAAATTTGAACAAGCAAGAAGCTAAGGATCCAGATTTTTAAGATTCAAAGGTCAACATGAATGCCAAGCATTTACATGGATAGATACACCCAAAGAAAAACAAATATCAACACAAACTAGCTCTGAATCAACACTTTCAATATAATAATAGTAATATACTTGATAGAATAATGATATATCATTATAGATTCAAAATATCTTTGCAACTACAATCATCTTGTTATCCTTATCTATAATTCTAGCAAAAAACACAGAGCTTCGTCTAATTCTAGCAAAATATAGTGAGCTCCAAGTGAAGAGTTTACAATGAGCAACTATAATACTTGTAGCAAAAATAACACATCTTTACAGTGAGCAAAAATAGTGCAGCTGTGTTTTAATAAACTGCATGTACCAGACCGATTGTAGCATGACAAAAAAACTGCATGACAAAAATAGTGTGCAGTTGTGTTTTATGAAGCAGCCCTTCCTCTTTTGACTGCCCTTCCCGCCCCCCTTCTAACCACTCGTTCACCTCCTCTTCCAGCTCCCCTTCCAACACCTCTTCCCACAACCTTTCCTACTCCTCTTCCAGAAGCCCTTCCAGCACCTCTAACAGCACTACTGGTATTGGCGCCTCCTCTAATTGGACCTCCTTGGCAAGACCTCTTGTTGTGGCCAAAAGAAAGACATTTACTACACTTTTTCATATTCTTGGATTGAGTTTCATTCTCATCATGCCCTTTTATCCTGTTGCGTTTAGGCCTTCCAGGTGCCCTTGAAAGTGTAGGTGGCAACAAAAATTCAACCCCCTGCATATAATAAAGGTGGTTTAGTTTAATTTCTAACTGCACACTTTTAATACATTTAATTAATATGGTCAGTAATACTACCTCTGGCCAATCCGTTTCATGTGAAATTGGTTTGATATTGGATTCATAAGATGATTTGTACGCCTTAACACTTAGAAATGGACTGCAAAATCTATATGCATGAGTAATAAGAATAAAAGTTAGAAAAATACTAAATATTCTAACTCAAGGAATCCATAAACTTAAAAACCTAGCAACATACTGAGCAAGTGGCAGTCTCAAGTGGCTGATCAAGTGCACGGCATGTACACACGGTATTCCTGTCACCTGCCATTCACAACAGTCACATTCATGATTATTTAAGTTAAGAGTCCAGTGTTGTCCAGTAAACTTTCTTACACAGAATGTCCCTTCACCCGAAGGGTGAGTGACAAAATCACTCTGCTTCTCCTTATAAAGTGTTAAGGCTTAGCAACTCTAGGAACCACACCACTTTCATCCCAAGTGCTACTTTCTAATTTCCTATCATACATAATTTTCATCATAAAAAATGACATCCCTATTATCATAGAGCACACAGGTTTCTCCCTTTCACTCAATATAAAACTGTTGTAGCTTTCGGTAAAGTTATTGGTCAAGTGATCACTTTTACAGATAGTATCAAAGTGGGCCCTTGACCACAAGTGTGGACCTATTTCCATCAAGTAATCCTTAGTCCCAACTGCTGCATTCTCCAAATTCACAAGATTTCTTTCAAAATGGACTTTTTTGTATGCCGTGGCAGTAGCCCATGCTAGTTGCTTGATGTGATCCCCTTTCCACCATTTGCTCATATTTTTGAAGATATGCCTGAAACAACTCCTTGGATTGCACCCTTCTAAATGTGTCTCAAAAAAAAAAAAAAAAAAAAAAAAAAAAAAAAAATGTGTCTCAATACTTCTAATGATGGCTTGAGCTATATCCAATATCACTGTGAGCGGCAAAGAATGTTTTTTGAGCTCAGGAGCTATTAATTCCAGAAACTTATCCCAATTTTCGCCATCTTCTTTCCTGCAAATAAACACTGCCAAGGGAAACATGCCATTATTCCCATCCATGCTAATAGCTGCTAGGCACACTCCTCTATATTTCCCCTTTAAAAAGCATCCATCCAAGCCTACCAGTGGTCTACACCCCTTTATCCAACCATCTAAACTAGCCCTAAAAGCCACACATAAGTATTTAAATCTTTTTTCTGCATCAAATTTCCATGACACCAAACTGCCCGGATTAGAAGCTTCAATCTGTCTGCACAATTCTGGGACCTGGGCATAACTCTTTTCATAATTCCCATGCACCTCTTCTAAAGCTAGTAGTCTTGCATGCCATGCTTTCCAATAACTTATATTTATTGTCCACCTATTCCAAGCTATTGCAATTATATCCCGAGGTGTGTAACTCTTGTGATGCATCTTCATGTCTTCAGCAATCATATCAGCTATCCATCTAGCATTTGCCCCTCTATTGATGTTATTACCATCATTCTCACATGTGTGTTCCTCTTGGAGAGTCTTAACTTCAGCTGTGTGGCCATCATTCTTTCTTTTAATGTAACACCTCCATGCACACCCTACACCTCTGCACCTTAATATGATCTTATCTCCACAATTTTTCTGAAAAAGAACTTCAAACTTATTCTTAATGGCATACATCCTAATGTACTTCCTACATGCATCCATAGTGACCCATTGTTTTCCTACTGCCAGCAGTAGTTGGTCCTCCCATTTTTCAGATTCCAGGTTATCAAAACATTCTTCATTACATAGAAATGATCTCTGTGTAAACCCACTCAACACAGTACCAATTTCCTCCTCATTTCTTGTTATTGTTCCTTCTACTTCCTCCAATTCGCCCCCCTGAACCTCATCATTTGACAGCTCATCTTCAGCATAGCTTACATCATTCGATTCATCATCTGAGTCATTCATATTGTAGCCATCTAGTCCATCAAGAATCTCCTCAAATTGGGTACCTATAAATAAGCAAGAGTTAATAATCTAATTGTTTTATTGCAGCCATATTATAGTCATATATAGTTCATCATGAGTTGTTTAAATATGGTTGATTTATTAGTTACAAGTCTAAACGACAAAATAGAAACAAACTATATTGCATTTAAATTTACCTTGGTAATATTCAAATACATCAGGAACTGTTTGTACATTTGCAGAATGAGCCAACGGAGCCAATTCAACATATATATTGCCAAACTCATCATTAGTATTTGCTTGAACAATACTATTCTCTTCAAACGGTACCCTAACTGAAATGACATATATATTGCCAAACTCATCATTATTACAGGACTGATAATTATAAGAGGTTTATGTGAGAAAATAATTGTGGAATAATGGCCCTCCCATTAGGGAGCCCTAGCATTGTATTTATAATAACAAGGAGTGAGAGAAATTACACACAAGTCCCTATAATTACCCTATTACACCCCCTCAATCTGTGCAGGGGAAATCACGTGCAGATTGGAACGTAAAAATTCAAAACGCTGACTAGACAGATTTTTAGTGAATATGTCAGCAAGCAGATACTGAGTAGGAATGTACTTGACAACTAGGTCTCCATGGGCAACTCGTTCTCGAACAAAATGGTAATCAATCTTGATGTGTTTGCTGCGATCATGCTGGATAGGATTAACCGCAAGGTATGAGGCAGAGACGTTGTCACAGAATAGCTGTACAGGTGCCGAAATCCGAATGCCCATGTCGAGTAGTAGTGACCGAATAAATAAAGTGTCCTGGACCGTGTATGCAACAGCTCTATACTCGGCTTCGGTGGAGGATTTTGAAACAGTGGGTTGCTTTTTGGAACGCCAAGAAATAAGATTACCTCCAATAAAGATGGCATAACCGGTGGTAGACCTGCATGAGTCTGGGCAACCTGCCCAATCAGCATCAGAATATGCCACTACGACCGAAACACTCTGCCCGGACCGAAGCCATAGACCATGAGATGAGGTCCCCTGTAAGTACCTGTAAATTCTTTTGACTGCAGCAAGATGAGTAGTACGAGGAGCATGCATAAACTGGGAAACCAAATGTACGGCATAAGTAATATCAGGTCTAGTAATAGTCAAGTATTGTAATGCACCTACCATACTGCGATACTCAGTACCATCACTAAGAAGATCTCCATCTGTGAGAGATAAGGTGGTGCGAGAAGGAAGTGGAGTACGAACAGGTTTAACTGTGTGTAGATGAAAGCGTTGTAAAAGATCTGTGACATATTTATGCTGAGATAAGAAGATACCTTTGGGAGTGCGTTTAGCTTGGATTCCCAAAAAATAATGAATATCACCCAGATCTTTCATGGCAAATTGACTAGATAAAACACGAATAAACTGATGAACCAAAGACACAGAGCTACCAGTGATAAGAATGTCATCCACGTATAACAAGATATAAACTATGTCGGACTGGTAGTGATAAGTAAACATGGAAGAATCAGACTGGCTCTGAGTAAAGCCATGAGAAAGTAAGAAACCACTAAAACGATGAAACCAAGCACGTGGAGCTTGTTTCAGACCATACAAAGCCTTTTTCAGTTTGCAGATATGAGAGGGATACTGGGGATGTAGGAAACCAGGTGGCTGACGCATATACACCTCCTCCGTAAGATGTCCATGCAAGAAGGCATTTTTGACATCTAACTGACGAACTGACCACCCCAAAGAAATAGCAACCGATAACACAAGACGAACTGTAGTGGGTTTGACCACTGGACTAAAGGTCTCATAGAAATCTACTCCAGCCTGTTGAGTAAACCCCTGAGCTACTAAACGAGCCTTGTGGCGCTCAATTGACCCATCAAAACGATATTTAGTTTTATATATCCACTTACACCCAACCACATTTTTTGTTGTATCGCTAGGTACTAAATCCCATGTGTGATTAGTAATGAGCGCATTAAATTCATCTGCCATTGCTGCCCGCCAAATTAAAGATTTATTTGCCTGAGTAAAACATGTGGGATCGCTGGGAAGAGCTAAAGTGTTCAAATTAAAAATCATTTTTGGTTTAAAAATACCATCTTTAGCTCTTGTGCGCATAGGGTGGACATTGGGAGCCAATTCAGTGGGTGGAGGTAAGGACGAACTAGGGTCGGATGGTATACTGGGAGTGGGTAGTGGGCTGCTGGCAGTAAGGATGGGAGATGGTGGTGGGCTGCTGGTAGTAATAATTGGAGATGGGGGGCTGCTGTAAGGGAAAGAATCAGGGGTGTGAGGTGGGGAGGTGGAGTTTGCGGCAGAGAAGGGAGTTGGAGGAGGGCTGGTTTGTTGGCTGGTGGTACTCGAGTCAGCAGAAGTAGCCGCGGGCTGGGTTGGTGTGGACATCATGTGGGGGAGGTCGGGAGTAGGCAATTCCGTCAGGATGGGTAAAGTCCAAGGTGGCAGGACATGATGTGGGGTCTTAGGGGCGACTGGTTTCTTAAGTGAGGGATATGGAAATTGGGTTTCATGAAAGAGAACATCTCGACTAATATAGACTCGGCCAGTACGGGGGTCAAGACAACGATAACCTTTATAACCCGGGGCATATCCCAGAAAGACACACATGATGGATCGTGGAGAAAGCTTATTTGATGAACTAGCTATGAAATTGGGAAAACACGCACAACCAAAAACACGAAGAAAACTATAGTCAGGAGTTTTGTGAAAAAGAATTTCAAATGGAGATAGACCACGCAAAATTTGTGAAGGTAAACGATTAATGATAAATGTGGCTGTGTACAAGGCATCAACCCAAAACATGGGAGGAAGTTGAGCCTGAAGAAGCATAGTACGAGAAAGTTCAAGTAAGTGTCTATGCTTCCGTTCGGCCACACCATTTTGCGCGGGCGTATCTGGACAAGATTTTCTAAACAAAATGCCACATTTTAAAAAATGATTGTGAAAGGAGGAGTTGACAAATTCACCACCACCATCACTTTGAAAACATTTAATTTTACAATTAAACAAATTTTCAACTAAATTCTGAAAATTACAAAAATGATGAAAAACTTCAGACTTTTTATGCATAGGATAAACCCAGGTGAACCTAGAAAAATCATCAATAAAAGAGACATAATATTTAAACCCCAAATTAGATAAAATAGGCGACTGCCAAACATCTGAATGAATGAGTTGTAAAGGAGAATTAACAGTATGAGTAACATCATGAAAGGGAAGGCGGTGGGACTTGCCCAGTTTACATGAAACACAGTCGTGCGAAAACGAGCTAGTACTAGAAATTAATTTATTTGTCCTAAGAGAAGATAAAACACGATCCCCACAATGGCCAAGACGGTTGTGCCAGACTGGACCCGAAACAAGCGTAGTCTGGAAAGCTAGAGAAGGTGGTGACGGCCGAGATGCTCTAAAGGGATATACGGAGTCTTTATTGGATGCCCGGAGAAGAATGGCTCCCGTGTGATTGTCCTTAACAAAAAAATAATTTTTATTAAAAATAACAGAACAATCATTATCCGCACACAAACGTTGAATAGACAATAAATTAAATGAGAGGTGCGGAACATGATAGACTGATTTTAAAATAAGCGGGCGACTAGCAGTGGATAAAGTGGCATTACCGATGTTAGATACATGAAGATTATGGCCATTAGCAACACGAACAGAAAGTGGACCAGTATAAGCAGATTTATTAAATAAAATACCTTCATGCGGGGTCATATGAGCAGAGGCACCTGAGTCAGGATACCAGACAGACGCATTTGTTTCACCTGTGGGAATAGCCGCCAGAGCTGGTGTAGATGGATTAGTAAAACGAGGACATGTGATGGCGGAGTGGCCAGGAGAATAACACAATTGACATACAACAGGTGGAGGAGGATTGTGATAATTATTCTCAACAGGAGGAAATCCTGCAATAGATGGGTGAGTAACACAAGTAGATAAAGCATTAATACAAGGTAAAACAGACCCAAAATTACTAAATGCCATACCTGGAAATCCAGCCGGTGCATGACCCCGAGGAGGTCCCTGCTGCCACCCCTGCTGGCCGTGAGCTGGAGGAGCCTGCTGCCCGCCATACGCAGCCCCCTGCTGGCTGCCATATCCAGGCCCCTGCTGGGCACCATAGCCTCTACCGCGACCGCGGGTGCCACGGCCGCGACTTCCACGATAGCCACGTCCACCGTTCCCACGCGATGGACCACCCCCTCGAACTGGAGGGCGAACAGCAGCGGCCTGCTCCTGAGCGACAAATGCTTGATGGTCGGGATGAAGATTCTGGGAACGAAGGTAAAGAGCACGCTGCTCAAGTGCCATTAATTGTGGGCGCAAAGAATCAAAAGTGAAGCTGTCCGGGAATAGCGTGACCGAAGTAATAACAGACTCATATTCATGTCCCAAGCCTTGAACCGTGGCTTGAAGAAGTTCACGGTTGTTAACCGGGGAATTAATAGAATTTAATGAATCTGTCAAGACAATAATCTCATGCAAGTAATCATCCATAGATTGATCCTCCTTTTTCTTAAGATTATTTAAAATGTGTTTGAGTTCCATTGAACGAGCCACACAAGCCGCCATAAATCTAGTCTCTAGACGTTCCCAAATTAAGGCAGAAAACCGGAGACTATGAACTTCCATTAAAATATTGCGTGAAAGTGTGGCAAATAACCATGATCTAACAGTTTGATCAATCTTAAGCCAAGAATGATAATCGGGATTAGGAGCTTCATGATTAACGGTATCCATAATAAATTGGGACGGGGCAGGAATGGAGCCATTGATAATACCCAATAAACCATGAGATACCAAAAAAGACTCTACTTGAGTTCTCCACGGCAAGTAATCTTCCACCGTACCCAACCGGGTGGTAACGATATTAGTAATGTTTGGCGTAGAGAACGTTAACTGTGACGCTATAGTGGACAGAGGTTGATGTTGCTTTTCCTAATCATAGGGAAACTAAATGGAAGCTAATGAAAAGGAGATGGTTGATGTTGCTTTTCCTAATCATAGGGAAACTAAATAATCTTGTTGTCTATGTTTAACATACGGCGTATTATTTAATTAGATAAGAAACTGATATCCAAACAAAACATTGAATGCATATTATTAGGTTAACTGATCTCCAAACTACGTAGACAAGAAAAACTTGAAATGAAAACAAGTGCACTAAATATAATGTAAGATGTGAACATATGCCAAGAAAAAATGCATGCTTAAGGAATCAGGATATAGCTCACTTGAGACCTGATCCAGTAAACTTTGCCTCTTAAGATGCTTTCAGCACCCTTTACCTATTGAAAAATTTCGCTCATGCACTCTATCAGTCTATCTAGTTAAAAAAATCAATTTTCTTTATTTCTTTCAATCTATACCGTACCACAAATGGTTGATTGTTTCAAAATTACAAGTTTAATATACCCAATTAGATCACTTCTCGCATAAAAGACAACGACAAAGTATCGAATAACTTACTTGCATTAGGTAAAGAGTCCATCTTTCTCTTCACAGGCAATTTCTTAGATATCATCTCCATCCTTTCCCTTGGTGTTAGTGCAGGTGCTTCAGAGTCCAGAAATATCTCCTCACGTTCTTCTAAGTCAAAGAAATCTGCCATTTTATCACCAACTCCATCACGAGAGCTCAACGTCTCCATCTTGGAGAGAAACCCTATTTCACTCCAGGTAAGAGTTGCTAAGAATGAAGACTGGTGCGAGCGAGGGTTTGTATCTCAAATTCCCTGGAAGGTGTTTTAGTAAGGGCATTATAGTCCTTTCAAAGCAAGCATACTCTGTTTATCAGATTTCTAACGGAGGGGGTGCAAACATTAATGTTTTTCTAAAGAGGGTGCAATGTCCAATTTCTTCAATAAAGGGGGGTGCAAAGTCCAATTACCCCATGTTTTTATACTATTATTTTGGAGCTTCATGTATATAATCAAGAATATATGAATCCAGTTTCAAGTTGTTTTTAGTCCAGTTTGTGGCGTTTTTATACACAATGTTCATTAGTTTTTTACCATCAGTTAGACAAACAGGCTGGTACAGTAGTGTTTTGAGTCAACAAGCTGTTAAATAACGTAGTATAGGTTCACAAACATATTACTATCGTATATTGCAAATCGTAGCATCAGTTTAGTGATCTTATAAATCAAATTTAAGCTTCGTTGTTTGATGATACATGGAAATAAATTAAAGATCTTTCTAGGAAAAGCACTCACTAAAATAGTGAGTTTCATCTTTGATTAGGATGTAGCTTACATACCTGCTAGGCTGCTAAAGATAGAATATGAGGAAATATTATTTTCTTACCACATCAAAGATATTTGTACGAAAATCCTTTATGATTAAACATTTTTAAGACATTTTTTAAACAATTATGTTGGATACAAATAATTTGAATTAATATAAAGTGAACGTGTAGTTCATTTTATCCTAAAATTCATTATCAAAGCCGTTAAATTCGAACAGATAGGTACCTTAAAAAGGTTACTTCGTATTAGATTTTTTCTTCGAAGTTTTGCCTGTTCGATCAACATCAATTAATTTTCTTTGTTTAAAAAAAAATATAGGTGTAATTTCAAAGAAACTAATACTATGGTTATAAAATTATACGGAGTAACATTTTTAAAATCATTAGATTAATGAATCTATAGAGCTGATTTTTTTTAATACATGGACTATTTGAATATATATTTAGGTCCTATATTTATAGTTTTTCATAATTCGGATCCTATATTGATATATTTCACCTTTCAGATCCCGAATTGATAATTCATCTATCTTTTAGGTCCTGAATTGATAAAATTTCATATAAAAAATACTTGATTAACTTTTCTAAATGGATTGTAAGCATTGAAGATGGTACTATTGGAGGATTGAATGAATATTTTGTAGAGATTGAGATACCTAATGAAAAAAATGTCATTAGCATTATAACCATATAAATTCTCCGTCCATCCCATAAAATAGTTCCCACATTGACTTGAATCGAAGTTTAAGAAAATGGGAATAAAGCGGAAATATATAGTTGTGGTTGAATAAGAAAAAAGTAAATGAATGATAGCTACTCACATAAAACTTTTCAATAAGGGTAATGAGAACTATTTATTTGGACAATCCAAAAAGGAAATAGAGAACTTTTTTTGGGACAGAGGGAGTAATTGATTTATATTAATATTATTGAATTTTCCCGTGCCGTATCTTCCCGTGCATCGCACGGGTACTATAGTAGTTCATGGGAAAAGGCCAAAGTAATTTTATTAATTTGAGAGCCTTTTGTAATGACTTATTCTGTTGAATCTTCTAAAATATGATAAAATTCAGGATGAAATGACTTGTCGACGGATTCAAGCCCGAGTGTGTCTGGCTTCTTAGTTGGAGTAGCAATATCAGCCAGAAGTGCTTGAGTGGGAGGAGGATGGACGAAACAGGAAGAACAAAATTCACCTACAGTGTAGCAATTCACCTTCCTCCAGTGTCGGAAAGAGATATGTGGAGAAGCACTGAAGCACTGCATTTAGAAATTTGATGCTTAAAGTTCCATTAACTTTTTAGAAATTTTGGGCACGAGCTCATAATCTTCCAATGGAATTTTTGCCCCTAATGGTAGCCTGAGAAATTGGTAATTTTATGGTAAAATTTGTCAAAATTGATGAAAATCAGTTTGATGAAACTCGGACGGCTTATCTAAGGATTAGCGTTTGACAAGAAGAATGAAAATTGGGAAAGAGAATCGGAGACGACTTTGGATGGATTTTAAATGGGAAAACTCCATATTTTTTTATTTGATTGTTGTATTATTGAACGTGAGTATAGAATTTTTTTAGTATAGAATTTTTTTACTATAATTTGGAAAGAACAGTTGGATTGAATAAGCTATATGGACCTTGGTTAAGGGCAGGAAATAGTAGAGGTAGATGAAGTGATCAAATAAGGAGTTTATATGACATTCACGATGTCAGACACTCAATACAATCAACTAAATAAACAATTCATTTCACTCAAGTAGTCATTGAACCAAATTACCAAATATAATCAGCACTTTTGCAAAATATAAACAACAATAATAACAGAAATAAAACACAAGGAGCACACACGATTTCTTACGTGGAAAACCCTTCAACGTGAAGGATAAAATCACGAGGTCATTTCAAGAGTCCACCCTTACTTCTCTTACTGATAAACGAGGGTAAAAGAATCCAAAATCGGTCTACAAAGGATTCATAACCCCACCAACAATCACTAAGAACAATAAGGATGTTTTTACTTGGACTGTAATTTGTCCCAGATCAGACCTGACGAGACCAGATCAGACTAGACCAGACCAGACCAGACTTGGATAGTTATAAAAATACAAAGAAACCAGACCATACCAGTTCAGACCAGATCAGGTCAGACCATCAAATTACAGTCCAAGTAAAAACATCCTAAGACATCAAAATAGCACAACAAGATGCAGAGATCACCCAAAATTGCAAGTTTGTTCGACCAAAGTTCCTAGCCAAACCAGAGCTCAATAGAACATTTCGACTGTTCAAAATGAATATTCAAGTCACAAACAATCAATCCAAATTTTAGAAAAATCGGATCACGAGATGATGAGAACACCTCCGTTTGTAGAGTTGGTTGAAATTGTGCACTGAAATGCGAAAATCGAAAATCCTCTCCATTTGTTTCTACTAGTATTCTCACCCGTGCGATGCACGGTCAAAATAAATAACCATGTATGAGTTAGAATGAAAAATATTGAAAGTCAAAATGACACACCAATTGTGCGATGCGCGATTGAAATATTTAAACCCGTGCGATGCACGACAGAAATATTGAAACCAAGTGTTATAAGTCAAAACATAACATGTAAATGTAAAAATGAAACATTAGAAAATTAAAATCTATACTTAACACATATTGGAAAGTTTCAGAACTAAAAATAATGGGATGCTTGGATCTGATTCTTAAAACTACTTTTGCTCCCTCCAGAAGCAGAATCAGTTCCAAACACCCCGTAACATATAAAAATCTAAAGGTTTGATACACATCTTTATAGACAACATTTGTGACCCTGGAAACTCCAAAAAAAACTTATCCAGAACTCGGATGCAATCAATGACAGATCTAGAATTAGCCTTTGCTTCTAAAATATGGAAGCTCTTTTCCCATTCACCGGTAGAATCTATCAAGAAAAAACATTGAATTTGAAAATTTAAAATTTCAGATATTTGGAAAATTAAATTAATTAAAAGATCATGAATTCATGATATTGTAGCATTTGTAATAGCTGAAAGCAGTAAAGTCCGAGAACTTTTGGTGATGGGAGGCTCAAATTGAAGATTATAATCAATTTGAAATTTAACATGTTCACCTCTCAAATTTATATACTACATATAAGATAGAGACCATTAAAAAAACTTGTCGTTTATAAAAAAGCTCTAAGAAATGTGATATTCATATTTAATCCTAAAACACAGCAT